CTCTACAGCTACGGATGCATCCATATGCCAACTGCACCCCTTGTAATATGTCACCTAGACCATCTATTTTTAAGATTTTCAAGTATTCATAGATCTACTTGATTTGTAATTTTTTTTAATTTTAAATTTTAGAATTAAAGATTAAAATAGATTTTCAAACCGTACCGAGGTTTCTACCAATGGAACTTTATCTCCAACCTAAATTTAGATGTGCACTTTACTTATACAACATAAAGAGGGTGACTTATAGGAATCTCACCCTATCTAGAATGGGATTGTATAGTTAATTAACAACTTACTTTAGCTACTTGTGACACAAATTCCAGAAACAAAGAAAAATATCAACTTAAATTGTCGTACAAAATAATTGGAATAGTCAAAAGATCCTATTTTTTGCTATAGGTTTTACTTTTTAAATTTTATTATAGAGAAGTATCTCCTAATATAATTTATTTAGAATTATCAAAATATCCATGTTCGTGGTCTAGTTCCTGAATTTATATAGGCATTTTAATAATTTAACACACTTAATTCCTCAAGTTAAAGTACAAAATTAATACTCCTACTTATTGTGGAACAATCAAATGACAAAAATGTCCCTCAATATTTAAGATTAGAAATATGGAATCAAGGCTAGTTTTGTTATTTGATGGATTCATGCTCTTAATCCAAAATAACCTAGGGTATTTTTGTAATTTGACTCTTCTCACTTTCTTTTTTTTATAATGTTACAAAATTTTATTATTCAATGAAAATTACCAAAAAAACTATGTATGAATAAGGTCATCTACTACAAGAGAAGAATCCAGAGCAACCCTAAACTTTCCCATGCCATTTGCGACATCGTTTGTCTCTCAATAAAAATGATGAAAAGAGATGATCAAGCCTTGAAATAAATCCAATACTTCTACCCAAATTGTGAAGAATCTCCATGGTGGTTTGGCAACTTTATTGCACCAAAAAATAACATTTTGAGAACCCCCCTCTACCATAATGGAACACCCCATGAACTTCTCCCTGAGATATCTCATGCCTTGTAAGAGTGCATGAAACTCCGCTTGATTTGTTGTAGCTAAACCACAAGGCCCTGCAAAAGAGAGGAGCACAGCCCCCGAAGAATTCCTCACTACACTTTCATAACCAACTACTGCCATCAAAGTTAACTTGATAATGCCATCTACCCTGGGGACTTGTCTCCAAGACTTATTATTCAATCTTTAAATTCATCCAAATGTATACCTTTGAAATACCTCAACCTTCTTTTGAAACCAACAACCAATGCCAAACATCATTTAAGATACATTCATTTATCTCAAAGTCCTCACGAATCTTGCAATCAAAAGTTCTACGGTTTCTTTCCCTTCACAACTCTTACAATATGGGTGCTCTAAAGATCTTCCACACTACCCAATTGCATTTTGAAGTCCCACACATCCATCTGTAATAAAAGCTCTACGTGACTTCTTGGCATAACCATTTGAATTCTCATCATGTCAAAAGCTCATTCCCAAATAGCTAATTTAAAAGAGTAATGAATAAACAAGTGATTACAACTTTCTTTATCTTCTGTACATAGAATTCAAATGTTTACCAATACTTTCCCTCGTTTTTGCAAATTTTCAACTTTTAAAGTCTTACCTTGAAGAAGGATCTATAAAAAGGTATGGACTTTGTGAGGAACCGAAACTTTACATACCCCATTTAAAGAATGTCGTAGCACTCTATGCATTTCATGATGCAACCATCATTCTCAACCTCCCAAATGACATCATCCTCCACGTCCCTTGCAACATTCACAGAGTCCAAAATATCTAATAATGATGCAAACTGGTCACCGACTATGTTTGGCACCATTCTATAAACAAAAGGCCAATTCCATGAACTGGCAGATAGGATAGCTTCAATGTGCAATTTCCAAACCATTTATGATGCCAAAAGTTATTCATCTCTCTATTACCAACCACCCACCTTATATTCCTAATAACAGTTTTTTTAACTCGCACCACCCCTTTCCAAAATGTTGAAGCTTGAACTCTTCTCAAAGTGGAAAAAGACATAATTGTCTCAATAAAATCCCCATATTTCTCTTTTATCGGTGAAATCCAGAGCTGATGCTCACAATTTAGAAGTCTACACCACCATTGGCCAACAAAGATTGATTAACCAACTTCATTCCTAATCTACAATTCCCCTTCCATCTTGGTGCACAAATTTTGTTCCAACTTATAAGATGAAACTTCCTTTTGCTATCCATATTCCCCAAAATAAAATTCCTCATCAATCTTCTAATCTCGTTGCAAACCAAAGCAAGCATGACCAATAAAGATATCAAATAGACATGGAGATTAGCTAAGGAAGATCTAACCAAAGTAATTCGACCCCCCAATGAAAAAACCTTACTCTTTCACAAGTTTAATTTGACATGAAATCTCTTTAGAATTGGGTCCCACACTACTTTATGTAATCTAGAGTTTGAAATGGGCATTCCAAGATAGGTGATAAGGAAAGAATCGACTTTACAACCAATGACCTTAGCTTAAAGCTCGACCAACTCTCTATCATAGTAGACTTTGACCAAAGAAGTTTTCTTAAAATTTACCTCCAGACCCAACACTTCTTCACAACAAATAAGAAACTTTGTGAGAAAGCAACTTCTTCAATATTGGCTCCATAGAACACTAAGGTAACATCAATATATTGTAAATAAGAAATAACATTGCTGCCCATAGAGACCTTGAAGCCATTGATCTTACCTAACCTTCAATTTTCGATATCAATAGGCCAAACGCCTCAGCAATGAGAGTGAAAAGAAAAAGTTACAAATGGTCTCCTTGCCGAATACCCAAACTAGCTACAAATAAACCTTTAGGATAACCATTACCCAAAATGGAGACATGTGCAATTTATGAGTAGCCCCAAATCCACCTTCTCTAAGTTGAACCAAAACCCATACATCTCATCACCTCCATAAGAATATGACATTCGACCCTAATATGACCTTTTCCTTATCAAGTTTCAGTAACACCCCTACCTGATCATCCAAGACCCTAGAGTGAATACAATCTTGAGCTACAAAAATACTTCTTGTAACAATCATTTTCTTCACAAAAGCTGATTGAGGCCCTTTGATAATGAAATATAACACCAACTTTAATCTCTCAACCAATACCTTAGTTATGATTCTATACAAACTTCTAAGCAAGCTGATAGGCCTCAAATCAACAATATCAACAATGACCTCCTTTTTCAGAATCAGACAATGTATGCAAAGTTGATGCTTTTATCCACTATACCTCTTTCTATGAATTCCATCACCATTGCTAAAAGATCAAACTTAACAATATCCACAAAAAGGCTAGTGGAAAGCCATTAGGGCCCAATGATTTACAACTAAGCAAAGAAAAAATCGCATGCTTCAATTCCTTGATTTTCAAACTAACTTAGGGGTGTATACTGATATGATTATACCTAATTTACCCCATTGCTCTTAATAGGATTGTATTGGAATGGGTGATGGTACACATATCCCAACTTGGGTTAGTTCTGACGATCAACCTTGATTTCACAACATGAAAGGTTAATTATCTCATAATGTAATGGCTGCGGTTTCTTTTGACATGACTGTCCAATATGTACTCATCAGATGGAAATGATCTACTTCAGACTCAAGAGTTTTACACAAAGCACTAGAGAGGACTTCTAATCATTTGTGAGTGCCTCAAGGTAATACTACATTTTTTTTGTGATTGGTACAACTATAGAATTAAATAGTCCTTGACATATCAGTCTTATTTGTTGTAGGAAAGTACTACTTTATAGATGGAGTCTATGCCAATACGTGTGGTTTTTTGGCCCCCTACAGTGGTATTCGGTATCACACTCAAGAATATCAAGGTAGAACTAGAAATAAACTGATGAACAAAGAAGAGATATTTAATTCTCAACACTCTTAATTG